TAAAAATTCCATTCACCATACAAAATTAACATCACAAAATCATAAACAAATACAAACTTCTATAAGAAATTTACCAGCAAGAATTGAAGAATCAAAAGAGAAAGAGAAAGCAGAAATGATTAGTAAATTTAAAAATTTAGCAAATAGTTTTTTGGGTAAAGTTAATTTATCAACTGATAACTTTCAACTTGATAAGGATGAGAATACTGGTAATTATAGTATACAATTTGTAAATAAATAATAGTGGTGTTTGTAAAGATAGTGAGACTATGCATGAGCAAATAATTATTAACAAATAGAATAAAGATAAAATATGTCATATATCTAAATTATTATACAATTATTTGTATAAGAATGTATAGTGAATTCTCTGATGAATTGAACAAAAGATATTATTATAATAAGTCCAATGTGTTTTGAGGAAATTTACAATTGAAATTATTATTCTTTATTGAAATATGGAAATGAAAGCATGATAAGCAGGGCATATTGCAACAAAACCAAGGTGAACATAATGCCATAAAATAATTTTCATGATATAAGTAGTAAATTTTTTTTGAAATAATCTCATTATAAATTCTGTTTTTTATTTTTATTGTAGTTAATTTTTTAGAAAGATTAACCAAATTTTCTGATTCTGACGATTACGCATATGGCTGTGCCAGGCATCTGGTAAGAAAAAACCCCCCAAAGCTCTAGAATTTTGACATTATACTAGGAATGAGAAAAGGATTTTGAATGACCGTAAAATCAAGAGAACCAAGAGGATGCGCTATCAAGCTCAACGAAATATGATATTGTTTGAAGAAGGCAAAGTTGAAGCCAAGGATTATAATGACGACAAAAGTATAAGTCGTGGGCACTGTGGTTGCCTGTGTCTTTATTTAGCTATCTTTCTCTCAATTTTTGTTATAGGTTGTGCTTTCATCATTAAATTTAACGGCAGTAGATCAGCACAGTGAACTGAGGAAAGGGGCCTTTGCAAATTATGGTTCAAATATCACGGATGAAGAGAAAAGCGTATTGTATTAAGAGCAAATGTGCTAACAGTGATGACATAAAAATAATATTTTATTACAGTTCTTTGCCATTATCACGATGTAGAAAGAACCGTAGAATTTATTCGGAAAAAATGATTAGTTTCTGAGGACAACAAATTTGTTAAAGAATTCTGGACGCTTGGTAACTATTATAATCTTCAATAAACCCTCATTCAGTAAACTAATCCAATCTCAAATGCTTAAGGCTTACAAATGGAATCAGAGTTCTGAATGGATTGTGCTCGACTTTGAAGCATTGAAACATAAGAGCCCAATCTGTCCACATTTGTCATCAAAATGGTGAAAACCGAACGTGTACAAATTTCATAAGAAAACTGGCAGGAAATGTGATGAGATCCTTTTATCAGCATCAAACAAAAATTTATACCAGAATGTTTGTCCTAATTTATAGAATCTGAAGATTCGATTAGTTTTTTG